TTAGATACGGGGGGCGGGGTGGAATATAACATTTTATGATTAATAGCATGTCAAGTCCTGCTCTACCACAGATTTCTCATGTCATCAAGGGCTCATCACTGTCTCCTCAGCTCCCCACCTTTGAAACAGAGTTATAGTACTTCCCACCCATACACGGCTCTTGTAAAGATCAATACATTGGAGGCTGTAAGGCACTCTTACTATACGAGTTCTGTAAAGTATCCAAAATACAGATGGAAAAATTAAAGAGATTATTTCATGTATTAGGGCAGACTGATGAAACGAAACTTATTAGAGTATAAAATTGCATCCTGAATGGAACATAGAACTGATGCTCTTTGTAAGGTTTTAAATTCGTTATGGAAATCAGTGCCATTTTGTTGTTGCTCAGAACTTCTATTTTCGGGTTGTGTCTGTGACACGAGAAAAAAATCATTCTATTACAGATGAAGCAGAATCCTTCTCCTGATCTGATTCTTGCCATGAAGGACAGAATAGAGCTTAAGTGGGAACGTCTGAAGTGCAGCAAATAAATGCTACAATTATCTGCATGCAGTCTTCAATTCTGGTAAGAAATATAAAACCACTTTTTTCTAGGACACAGAAGGGGTGGAGAAAATTGAGCAGAATTAAGAAGGTTAGCACATGAAAGACGAAGCAATCTGTAAGCAGCTTTGGGCAGAATGATGACCGACAGAGCAGCATATTCCATTTATGGGCTAAACGAATGAAGACCAGCAACCAAAGGTCGTATTTGAACTTTTCATAGCACGACTGCTTAAGCAGAGTTTGTTAGGTAGACACTTAACTGTCATGTTAAAATAGAATCAGACTTAAAAATCAAATGCAAGAAACAAAAAGTGTAATTGTAAAGTCACATAAGAGGGTTTTTTTAATTTTATACTCTGATTTTTGCATAGAACTTTTCCACTTCTCCACTTGTGTAACTTGCATGCCAGACAGACAACAAAGCAGTAACTATAGAACCATAAAGATGGACATAAATAAATTAGTTAATACTTTTAATTAAGTTTCAAACTGAGTCACTTTAACTGGCAAACTGTTTTGCTATTGCTTTAGGGTTTTTTGCCACTTATGTTGCATTTTAACCTCTTATTTATTATCACTATGGTCTGCAGAGAAAATGAATAAGTAAATTGTGTTTGCAGTTTTGACTACACCATACTTTTAGTTTTAAAAAAATCCTTCAATTCTTAGGATAGCTTATGAGTCTCAGGAAAGTTTTTGCTCCATACATGCAGACAAATTAGAAATAAAAGTGTCTCCTGATACTTTCAGTATTCCTGGGATATCTTTGGAGAAAATAAATTCTATACTTGTTAGATTGAAGACCAAATTACAAGCAATGGTAGATAACTTTCACTTTAAGCAAATGGTAGTTACATATAGAAAAGTTATATTTAATCTCACCAAACTAATATAGCACTGATATAGTATTATAGTATTAACGTTCACTTGCATTATAAGCTTAAAAAAATCCTATATAGGCTATCACTATAGAAGTAACAGTTTGTTAGTAGCTTTGATATTTGGCATTTCCTGATACTTGAACTATAACACACGACCATAATATTGCCCTTAAAATATGTAATAGGAAAGGTGCTTTCACAATTGTGACTATGATATATCTTTTGGATTCTGGCATTTAAAAACCTTATTCAGGGCCAGAAGAGAGTCAAGTACTCTAACATAACAAATAATATTAACAAATACCTTCATAAGAATGGACAGTATTTATATAAAACCTTTAGAATAGAAATGATCACATAGATTTTTCAAAGTGAACATGGGCCAGGACACTCAGCATTCCATAATTTCCTTACAATATACCAGAAACTGATAGACATCCCCTGGTTAATTAGGTGCTGGTGAAACCAAACCCACCTGACTGGAGATGTCCATTGCGGCATGCCAGGTTAGTACTGTCATTATAGACCTCCATTTGCGGCTTGGAAATTTGCAAAACTGCCTGCAGCTTCTCTATGCAGCAAACAGAGGGGAGGGAAAAAGGAAAAAATAAACAAATAAAAACAAAAATGAACCAATGAACTTTATGTACTCTAATCACACAGAAAAGTCAAATTTAGCTTCAGTCTCCTTAGTAAAAGGAGTATTGCTGTCTATTCTAATTGTTTTTGAAACTGTACGTTGTATACATCTATGAATATAGCTATAAACTAGCCATCAGTAGCTAAAATAATCCAAAATCAAAGCATCAGGATTTCCCCCTCCTTTTCCTCTCCAAGTTAATGCATAGGCTTTGTGCAATAAACCCAGTGCTCAAAGTTCTTAATTAATGGCTCCCATTGACCAACTTCAAGGAGTAGCTCCTTTTTCCGTATATGATACGCTTTATTTGAAGGTCAAGGGGGAAGCAAATGAAAAACAAAACCTAGTCCACATTTTTCAGTTAACTCCTCTGCTACAAAGAAGTTTTACTTGTCAGGTTTGATATTCAAGATGCTGGATGACTTTCTAGATCTTACTCCCTAGGCCACCATGTACAATTTTGAAGTTCCATAAAACACCCTTATTTCTGAATAAGTTAAAACTAATTTCAGTAACATCTGAAAGCAAGTTTCATGAAAATAGTTTATGATTGAATAAATAATTTAAAGGGACTATCTCATAGAGTCATGACACAAAGTAAGTCTGTTCATGGCATCTAGTCCATTCATAGTATTGGGCCTTTACAAGTTCATCTCTCTCAGCCTTTCTACTTTAAATAGATACACTCACCTTCCAAAGTCCTGTTCTGCTAATGCTAACCTTTATCATCTACATATGTTAGGTTCCTCAACAGATGCCTTCATGCTAAATTTCTACAGTAATGGGCACAGTAACAAAACCCAGAACCTGATTCCATATTTATGCACAGAATATAGCCTAAAGCCACTGCCTTATTTTCCTCTCTTTAAAACCTCTTAAAACATTGCCAGTTACAATCTGCTAAAAAGATGCTGGAACTAGTCTTTTTTTTTTTTTTTTTTAAAC